TATATATATATATATATATATATATATATATATATATACACTATTTACTATATGAATATATATTAGCACAAAGTATTTGGGACTACATTGATCCCTCGCCTATTGTGGGGTTTCGTTCCAGAGACCCCTGCGATAGGTGAAAGTCCGCGAAGTAGCTTCGTTATAATCATTTTATTATTTATATATAATTTAAGGCTTTATAAACCATTCCCACACTCCTTCAAACCTTTCCCACTCTCTAATTAACCTTTACCTCTAATGAGTTTAGCAGAGGACCCAAAATTTCAACCAGACTCCGAACACGTTCAGTAAGCTTTATTTTGAAAAGACTGAAGGAAGTCAGCACACGTCTGTGGGAACGCACTGAAAAAGCTGAGGAGGGACAGTCGATGGCTGTGGAAGGACTGGGAGCTTGAACAGTGCAGAGAAAACATCCACTATCGTGGGACTTGATCCGGTGGTTAAACTCACTTCTCCAGGCAGAGGATTGGGGTGGATGGAGAGAGTAGTGATGTCACAGCGAGGGCGGAGTCCTGAGTCAGGTTTCTGCTTAGTTTGGATCCGTCCAGAACTCAGTGGGTTAGTCAGAGAACAGGCAAGGGTCATACTCAGGGAGACAGGCTTCAAACTAGTTATCTGAGCGGTTCAGGAAATACTCAGAGGTCAGGACGCAGAAGAAGGTTGATGTCCAGAAGTCAGAAGCTTGGCAGGCGTCCGACAGGGGCAAGGCGAAACGGGAAAACCCAGGGCACAGAAATTTGTTCCGGACGAGTGGATCTGTCAAGAGCATGAGTTAATCGCTGGACGTTTACTTTTGCAAGACTCGATAATCCGGCGCTGGGTAGCGAACAGGGGCACGCTTAGATGCCACAGCCACCAGGTGAGAAGAATTATGCTGATCACAGCAGAGCAGGTGGGCGTGGTCAACAGACGGGCAGGAATCATGACATTCCTACTCTTCTAAACACGTCCTACGCTCGTAAACACTTTGGAGATGAAGATGATGACGATGAGATGAATGTACTGCACAGTACGTACAGTAGAGCCCGACCGATACGGACATTTTGGCTTTCGCCGATACCGATATTGGGAGGGGATGGCGACAGCTGATAACCGATAGAATGGCTGAAAATGTTTGATCTTTGTCCACCCCCACGAATCTAAGAAAACAGTGAGTAGAGTGGGACTTGTTTATTTAGTGCGGCTGTTAGCAACCATGAAGCTAAGCTAATCAGGTCTACGTAGTCCCACAGCAGGTTTACAAGCGGTGCACTGGTTATAAAACCAGTCTTAACTATTTACAAGTCATCAAGCGTGTTACAAAAATATAAATTAAAGACACGTGCTCCCTGTTCATCGTTTAAACAGTCACGTTTGGTGAAGGTCTCGTTAGTACTGACCGCAGCGGCGTTTGCTTTTCTTTGCAGAGACGTAAAGATTTCAGACAAACGATGCGTTTCTTTGAGGACGACAAAGGTCACGTTACGAACGCTGGATGTCCTCACAAACCGGAAGCTCAATCCGACAGGACTGTTGCCATGACAACGGAGCTAATGTGAAGGCGATGCAACTTAACACTAACTTTAGCTCTAACTGAAAGTAGTGCGCCCTCTACTGGATACATCGTACAGTTACGGCTGGTTCCAGCATTTTAGGGGTGAAAACTAAAAGTGTTGATATCGGCGCATAATGGGACACTATCACCGATATCAATATGTCCCCAAACGACTATATCGTCCTAAATCATCGGCCCTACCGATATATCAGTCAGACTCTAATGTACAGTACTCATAATATAAAAAAAGGGTTTAAAAAAAAAACTGTGCAGTGAAGTTATAACAGCGAGGGACAACTGTAGTAGCTTAATGAGTTATATTTTGTTACAAGTTTGGATTTGTTGAAACTTCCTCTCTTCTACCTGAAACATCCACTTCAGGTTCACCAAATCAGCTTTTAGTACACAACAGCAGGAGTAAATTAAGTTTGTCATGTTGCCTTACGTGAGCACGAACAAGCAAAGGCTGCACTCATCTTGACGTTCTCAGTGACCTGCACTCTCGTGAACTGTGAGTGACTCTCGGCTCTAACTCTCCCACCGTCAGTGTGTCGATTTGAGCTGCAACGAGCTGACGGAGGTCACTCTGCCCGAGACGCTTCCTCCGAAACTCCAGGAGCTCGACCTCACAGGAAATCCTCGGCTCAACCTGGACCACAAGAGCTTGGAGCTCCTCAAGTACGAACGTCAAGCGTGTCTTCAGCAGAACTTCTCAAGCGACTGTCTGATCTTTGTTCTCTTCTTCCCGCAGCAACATCCGCTGTTTCAGGGTGGATCCTTCACCTTCGGCTCCGTGTGCGAGCGATGGTCATGGAGTCCCCGCGGTCTGGAGTCACAGCTTCACCGAGGCCTCCGGGGTCAAAAACAAGTCAGTCTCTTCCTGCTGGTCTTACTTCCACCATCTGTTTTGATCATTTTAGCAACAGTTTTACTACTGACGAGTTCACTGTAGCATCTGATTGTGTAATTTTAGCTACTATTTTTTTAGCTTTAGCTGTTTTGATTTTTTTAGTTTTAGCACCTTTTCTGATACTGTTAGCTCTTACTTTGCTAATCTTTAGCTACCATTTATTTTTCAGTTTTGTTTTGATAATTTTATATACAGATCTGCATTTAGCTACTGTTTGGCTGCTTTAGCTTTTAGCTACTGTTCTTATGCTTTTACTTTTTAGATTTTGCTCTAGTTTTGTTTATTTTTTTGCCTTCAATCTGCTCATTTTAAGCTTAAGTGTTGATTAATTTAGCCTCTGTAATGTTCATTTCACCCTCCAGTCTGCTCATTTTAGCTTATGTTATACTTTTTGCAGCCTTTTTTCAACTTGAATGTAGTTTTAGCTTCAATTTTAGCCGATGCATTCGCCATCAATGCTTTATTTTCACAGAAAATTAGATTTTCTTTTTTTTTTACCTGAAATAAAATGTTAAAATGAAACTAATATATTTTATTTTGTTAGTTTTCAGGTTAAAAAGACCTTTTTTGTTTGTGTTTGAAATGAAAAACGTGGCAGTTCTTGTGTTTTAGCGTGAACAGCGGGGCGTTTTCACTCGAAGACGTTAGCAGAACCGTTTGTCCCAGAGAAACCAAGTTGTCTTTTTAAACACGGTAACGGGTCTTGTTGGAGCTCCCTGTCCCTGTTCTGATCCGATGACTCCTGCTCAGGCTGTGCGTGGCGGCTCTGGCCCAGGACAGCTTCTGCGGGATCCGTGAAGCTCTGTACGGAGTGTTCGACGGAGACAGGAACGTGGAGGTGCCTTACCTGCTGCAGTGCACCATGGGAGACGTGCTCGCAGAGGAGCTTCACCGAGGCCAGCGGCAGGAGGACTACATGACCAACACCTTCCTCACCATGCAAAGGTAAACGCCCACTTTGCCCTGACTCCTCCTCCTCCTCTGCCACCGCTGCGGTCCCTCCTGTTAACGGCTTGTTTGGGTCTCTGAAGGAAACTGGGCACGGCGGGTCAGAGGATGGGTGGCTCAGTAGCTTTGTGCCACATCAGACACGACCCGGTGGCGCCCGGCGAGCACGGAGGCTGCTTCACGCTGAAGGCCGCCAACGTGGGCAGGTGTCAGGCGGTTCTGTGTCGAGGCGGAAAAGCCCTGCTGCTCTCCGACGTTCACACCGTCAGAGAGGAGTCGGAGTACCAGAGGGTCCGACAGCACAACGCCATCATCACCGAGGTAACGGCAAATTGCATAGTCAGAAAGGACGATTCAGTTATTTAAACAAAATAAATAAAAATTTGATAAGACATTTTATGGTTTTAGAATTAAAAACTAAATACATTTTACATTTATATTTTTCTTTTCCTTGTCTCAAGGATAACAAAGTCAGCGGCGTGACGGACTCCACCAGAATAATGGGTTACTCCTTCCTCTGTCCCTCTGTGACGCCCCGCCCCCACGTCTCCACGGTGACGCTCACCCCTCAGGACGAGTTCTTCCTCCTGGGCAGCAGGGGATTGTGGGACCTGCTGTCTCCCGACGAGGCGATCGAAGCGGTCCGGAACGTCCCGGACGCCCTCGCCGCCTCCAAGAAGCTGGTGACGCTGGCCCAGAGCTTCGGCTGCTCCGACAGCCTCAGCGCCGTCGTGGTGCAGCTCAGCATCACTGAAGACTGCTGCTGTTTCTGCGAGCCCCCGCCTCCCCCGCCCAGCCCCGGCCCAGGCGCTCAGTCCGCCGGGCATCCTTACTCGTCGAGCAGCGAGGGCGGGATCCCGCTGCCGCCCGCCTCCTCCGGAACCGCGAGCGAACTGAGCAGCGAGTTCAGCACGTCCGAGATGAGCAGCGAGGTGGGATCCACGGCGTCCTCCGAGGAGCCGCCGCCTCAGACTGACCCCAACACCCAAGGGCGATCCGGCGTACGGAGACCCGCCCGCGGGGGCGCGAGCTTCCAGAGACAGTTCTCCGGAGCGCTGTCCGATAACGGGCTGGACAGCGAGGACGAGGAGCCCATCGCCGGCGTGTTTTCTAACGGCAGCCGCGTGGAGGTGGAGGCCGACGTCCACTGCCTGCTCCGCCACGGCTGCGCTCACTCACACGCCACAAGCAAACCCACCCGCTCCTCATCCAGCACCGAGCTTTTACCCGCCCCTCCCTCCTCCCCCAGCCTCGGCGGGGACGCTTGGTCTGGGACTCTGGGCCGCAGGGCTCGAGCCAACGGGTCCGTCGCCTGCCAGGGCCGGAGCCAGGACGTCATCGAAGAGGCCGGGGACGCCCCCGTCAGGAAGCAGGGGGGCTACTTCAACGCCCCCGCCCAGCCGGACCCCGACGACCAGCTGATCATCCCGCCGGAGCTGGAGGAGGAGGTCCGTCAGATCATCCAGCTGCAGCAGGAGCAGATTCAGACGCACAACCAACAAACGCACAACTTCCAGAGACCGGCCGATTACTTCATCACGCCTCTTTAACAGCAGCGTCGCCCTGATCCGGGCCCAGCACAAACTCCTGTCCTCGTTTTGTGTTCCACTTTTTCTACGGATAAACCCCTTTTTCTAACGCTTTGCTCGAATCTCCACACGTAGTTGATTTTTTACCATATCTATGATATGAAGAAGCACTTGGTTAGTTTCACCTCAGCTAACGGTACTTTGAGATTTTCCCTCTTTATTTTCTGTTTCCTGTCGCAGCTGATGGCCTTAAGTTGTCGGAGTTAGAAACTGTAACTAACTCCTAGGAGTTTCATACTTAAAGTGAGTTAGTCACTGAGACGTACTAATATTCTCTGAGAGAAAAGATGATTTATTTCTGAAGGCCGATTGTTTTTGTTTTTCTTCTTTCTGGGTGCGTCGAGTCCAGATCAGAGTTACCAACAGCTCCGTGCGTTCATTAGTTTTGTCTCGGAAACGTGTCGAGAACTGAAAACTGCACCAGAGAGCTACTTTTGCTAAACAATAAAGTTTTCAGATAAACTCAAATCTGCTGCTTTAGACTTCTTGACGAGCGAAAAGAACTTAAAACTTTTTTTTTGGTCCCTCTGCAGCTTTAAACTAAATTATCATGGAAATAATAAAAATTTACAACCACAATAGAAGACTAGAAATAAAAAGTGATATAAAAAACAATAAATGGCTTATTTTTTAATAAATGGTAAGATTTGAAGTGCTGTCTGCCTTTGAGAGGAAACTGGTTTATTCAACAAACTGGCTCAAGTGGAATACTTTGATTTTTCACAAATATATAAAAGTTGAATTTTTAATAAAAAGTTTGATCTTTTGCTTTGCTCCAAGATGAAAAACAAAAATCCACTCATTTCATTAGTGTTTATCTGCGTTCAAAGAGGAAAACTTGGAAGAAATTACGAGGGGAAAAACAAACTAGTCGTGTCTTTTTACCGTCTGCAACTCGGTTCTTATCGATCGTAAAGATCCGTTCAAACGATCCGGACCGTTCGTCAACATCTGTAAACATCTGTAAACATCTAAACGGACCCGATTTTAAACGTGTTTAAAGTCATTTAAGGATTAATATCTGAAGGAAACTTCAAAACAACTAGTCTTTTTTTACACATCATCATCTTTACTCGCTTCTTCCTTTTTGTTTCGCAGGGGGGGTCACTGGTGGTCCAGCAGTCACTGCGCTAGAGGGGGGACACCCTGGACATGTCTCCAGTCCATCACAGGGACACACGGAGACTAACGACCATTCACTCTGTCACTCACAACTAGGGACAATTCAGAGTTACCACTCAGCCTAACATGCATGTGTTTGGAGTTGCATTCAGACCCGGCCCGTATAGCTATCATTTCTGAACCCCGCCCAACCCGACCAATTTAGAGCTAATGGGTTTCTAGTAGGAACCCACAAAACCCCCGACATTTTTAATTAAGCTTTGACTGCTTATACAGTTAACGGTCAGCGGACGTGAGCGGCTGAGTAAAAGAGGCAGAAGATCGGAGCTGAGGGGGTGTTTGTTCTTTCATGGCCGTCAAAGTTCATTAAATCCCTGCTTCTGCTGCATTCTGCATCATTCAGACACGGGCCCTGCTCTGACATGTCTGCTTTGGGATCTCACCCGTTTGGGTCGCTGAAATGGATCGCTTCCTGCCAGTGCCGGTAGTCCCATCTGAAGCTTAACTGAACTTTTTACCTCTTTCAAGGCCGGTCAGCGCACGTCCCATGTGATAGTATGGCAAGCCGTGTTGCCATATAATTGGCTCGTCAGCCGCGTGCGTCCTCCGACGCAATCGAAAGCCCGACCCGGCCATTATTACGGCCCGGGTTAGAAATGACAGCTCTAACTGCGCCATCATGCTGCTCTTTTACATCACATCATTTTCATTCAGCCTTTATTTACAGTTAATCCCACTGAGCCTTGGACTCATTTACAAGAGATCTGAAAATAGTTGGAATACATTATTGATTTTTATATATTTTACTGTAACTGTTTAACTCAAGTCGTAAAAAAAACTTATCTACAGTAATATGGCAGCAGCAATACATTATTGTTGATTGCTGGGTTTATACTCAGTAAGCGCTGAAATTGTGTTAAAAATGCGTTTTTGCGCCACCCTTCCGTGCACGGCCCCGTCACAACGGCTGTCCTGCAGCGTTTGAGCCGAACGTTGTGGTGCATTCATGCAGCGCAGCGCCGAGACCGCTTCACAACCGCTCCAGCGTCGGTCTCATTTACTAATTACTGCATCTCCTCAGAGCTGGGGCGATGGAAAGACGACGGCACGGTGGGGCAGATGGTAGAGCTGCTGCCTCGGCGAGCAGGTGGCCGGTTCAAATCCTGACCCGAGGGCCTTTCTGGGTGAAGTTTGCATGTTCTCTCCGTGCACGAGTGTTTTCTCCAGTTTCCTCTTACAGAACAAAAACGTGCAGGTTAGTCTGGTAACTAAATGTCCCTTGGTGTCTGTGATGGACTAGAGACCTGTCCAGGGTGTCCCCCACCTGAGAGACTGCTGGATATGGGCACCAGTCGGCACCAGTGAGCCCCGCGACCCAAAAGGAAGTGGGTAAAGATGATGGACGAGAAGTTTTGGTCCCGACAAGCAAAGACCTTGTGTAACTTTGACCTTGATGTGACCTTGAGGCTGGGATAATGAAGAATGTACGCAACTTTCCCGTCAAGTAAAAAGCACAACATTCACTCTGGCAACTGTGCTCCCTCGTTTGTTTGCACGTGACGTGCGCTGCTGTGGGAGGGGCTTACCAGGAGTCCGTTTCTCTTCTGCACGAGAAAGAGCATGTCACAAACACGTGAGTGACAGATGTCACGTCTTGTCAAGTAAGAAGGAGGTTTAAGCACAAAATGAATTTTAAAATTTAATCAGAAATGTTTAATAGATTTGCTCAAAAGTTACAACTAGTAAAAATACACATAAAAAACCATTAAAAGGTCACATGATTTAATTCACTGCCCGAGTTCGTCACCAAGTAAAGCTCATTATGAACTTACAGATTTTAAATGTACAGATTCTTAATAAGAGGCTCTAAATATAATTGATTTATTCTGTGATTAGATACGAGTTCAACTTATTGACTGTTTTTTTTTACATCATGGAGCTTCTACAGAAAATAGTTCTGGTTCCAATAAATCAAAAATAGGTGAAGTTAAAAATGTCTCCCGTGTCGGAGGATTAAAACGAGATCGACTCTTTTTGTTTTTTTACACAAAAAGGCTCATTTATGACGGTCTGAAGTAAAATTAGATTAAATTAGTTTTTTATCTTTGCATACCCCCCCCCCCCCATCAGTGTTAAGTGTTAAATGTAAGAAACTTCGTGTTTTGTAAACACCAGGAGTTCAGTAGTCTCTGGCGGCGCTCCTGCAGCCCCCCCACACTGAGAGGAGGTGTCGGACCTCAGCCCCCCCACACTGAGGAGGTGTCGGACCTCAGCCCCCTCACACTGAGAGGAGGTGTCGGACCTCAGCCCCCTCACACTGAGAGGAGGTGTCGGACCTCAGCCACCTCGCACTGAGAGGAGGTGTCGGACCTCAGCCCCCTCAAACTGAGGAGGTGTCGGACCTCAGCGGGGCTCTCTGAAGGTCGCTCGGGGTCTGCTGCTTCTCTCTCCTCTTCCTCTCCTGCAGGTAGCGCTCCACGCCCCGGACGGTCTGAAAGGTGAGCACGGCGCCGGCGGTGTAGAGGATGGCGGTGATGAGACCGAACAGCGCCACGGCGGCGTCGGCGCCGCTCACGTCGCAGTTCATCCAGGTGTAGCCGTTCCTCGAGTACAGAAGCCGGCGCTGCATGCACACGTCCGTGGCGTTGACCTTGATGACAAAGTGCAGGTAGAGGCCGACGGCTACCACGTAGGCGGGGGCGCCCACCGCCTGAAACGCCAGCTGCCCCACCAGCAGCTTCCGAGACATCAGATGGGGGGGTTTGTTCCCGGCGACGACGAACAGCAGCGAGACGACGCCGAACACGAGGCTGAAGGCGACGCCGCCGTAGACGCCCGGCGCCCTCATCTGGCTGTACTGCATGTCCAGGTCCCGCGCCGCCTGCAGCTCGGTGCCCTGCATGTTGAAGTTGGTGTTGATGTCGAAGCTGCCCATGCCGCCCATGGCGGACAGACCCGATACGACCATCTGAGCGGCAACCACGCAGATCAGGACCAGGGCGTTGGTCAGGACGGCGCAGATCAGAACGATGCCTGTCAAAACAAGAAACGGCTGCGTTTAGATTTTACACGACTTCTTCTGGCGTTAGGTGCTGAACTTGTTTCCTTCTGCGCCGAGCACGGCAGAAACCTGTCGGTCCGGTTTTCACAGAAACTGAAACAGCTGCAGGGCTTTTCAACAAAACTGCTCTGGGGGCCACAGTTTCTGAAAGCCAGCAGCTCAAGGGCCGGACATCCAGCGATTAAAATCATGTACATAAACTAAAGTTTACAACGACCTTTTACATTTGTTTATTTTATTGCATTGAATCATAAATGCAACAAACAAAACCCAAATAACTTTTGTTTTTTACGAAGTGGGCCTGATTGAAGTGTGGCCCGCGGGCCGCCACTTGAAGAGCCCTGCTTGTAGTTTCAGCAGAACGTTGGCCCACCTCTCCTGGAGCAGATGTTGGAGCATGTGGAGTCGTGGTGCTCCACCCGAGGGACGTCCCGCACGTCTCTGGAGCGGTGAGGACGAGAGGACGAGCTGAAACAGAATCCTCGTGTCAGTCATCTGGTTCATACGTCACGAACATGAACTTTCTGTGGTTTTGATTTTAATTTAAAAGGTTAATGTTCAGGTTTGAAAAGAATCGATAAAAATGTTTTTTAGTTTCTTTATTTATTGCAATTCTTAAAGGTTTGGCTTATTTGCCATTTAGTTTTTGTTTTAATGTTGATATGATCTTCAGAGAAGCAGGATTTTATTTCAAGTCTGATGAAATGCTAAAGCTAAAAATGTCTGGGATAACAAAAAGAAAGTGTTAAAACTTAATGTGCAAACTAAATAAATCCCTGAAGGACCATCGGAAAGCTTGTTTTAAAGATCAAATTAATAGTTTTCGTAATATTTTTAGATTATTCTCGACATTTAAATGTTTTTCTTTAAAAATGCACCACACAAACACTTCACCTGGAATCATATTTGTTTCTTGCTTTTGTGATCAGTTTTTACTCTTTAAACCAACAAAAGTTTTTTTTTTATTAATTTAGTTATGTCACAAAAAGCTAAATTAGCTTCGGGAAACAAACATCAAGTTTCAAACATGACTAAATTTAGATTTTATTTAAATATCTTTTTTTTTTCATTTTGGACTATTGAACAGTGAAGATGAAAAGAAACTAAACAATTATTTTCATATTTTAGAAAACAAAACTAAAATAACTTAAAACAGTAACACTTGTTCAGAGGAGTTTATTCACAGCTACAATGACAACATGAGATATTTTGCTAACAGAGTTGTTTTTAAGATCTTGCGGGATCTGTTAATGCTCAATGTGTTTGTTGGGGATGACCCTCAGCTACTACCACACCAAATTTCAGCTTAATATCTGTAAATTTAACTTAGTTTTAATTAATCGTAAGTATTGTTGGACGCATAATCTTATAATTAGCATTTAATATGCTTTTTAAGGGGCACGTGCTGTTTAATTGTTCATCATTTGAACCTGTCGGGCGGTGAGTGCGTGTACTTCCGGGCACCGGGCTCACCTGGCGGGGGAAGGCCGCCTGTGGTCGCTGAGCGGCGGACGCTGCTGTCCGTTCCGCTCCCGGTGTCCCCGGTTCGAACGGGCCGGTTGACTCATACCTGCTGACCGAAAAGTGTCACCGAAACCACCTTTTGAACAACATGAAACCGGTTCAGCTCCCTGCAACAACAATCAAACATTTCAAGCGTTTTGTTACCGGGATGTTTATTTTACAACGCATAATCTCAAAGACAGTTCACGCAAAAAATAATCCGACTATTTACGCAAATTACGTACAGACGTAGAAAACGTAAATAAACTCAACGGATTCTTTTTCACAAGCATTTTAACAAGCACACCTAAAAATATTTAACTAAAACACACTTTAGTTAATGTTTATAAACTTTACTATGCAAATCAGTTTACGAAACTTCTATGTTTAGCTAGTTTGCTAAAACTATTGTTTGTTTTTCTCAAGAACTTACTGCGAGATCGATGAATGCGGTTTAAAGATTGAAGTCCGCCATTAATGTCTTTTTTTTTTTTTAATTCTCAAACCACCATCTTGTGTTTTCAGGTGAAACAAAAAGATCCACCTTACCTGAAGGCGGAAGGGCAGCCTACAGGTGAGTCTCTGATTGTTGTAATGACGCTCCTGTCCAGCAGGGGGCAGCAGCAGGCAACAGATACAAGCACTTCCGGGTCGCTTCTTCTTCTACGCCGTAAACAAACCGCCGCTTTGTGACCCTGCTGTGAGTAAACACGCGGACGTAAACACTGTATTTGGACCGAGCGGGTTCCGTGTTCCTCCCGGAACATTTCAACCTCCCGCGGTCATGTTCCTCCGGACCGCCGCGCGAAGCTGCGGAACTCTGACCGCCCTGCGCTGCGGAACTCTGACCGCCCTGCGCTGCCTTCCCGCCGGCTACGCCTCCTCCAGAGGAGCCGCTGCCTACATCCAGGGCCAGAGCCCCGAACCTCGAATCCGGGAGTACTTCTACTACCTGGACCATCAAGGACAGGTGAGGCTTTAAACACGCAGGCGAACTATGCGCGTACATTCGTGCGTTAAACAGTGTGCGTGTTGTGTTTTTCCTGTAGCTTTTCCTCGATGACACTAAAGTGAAAAACTTTGTCACCTGCTTCAAAGGTAATTTTCATTTTCCTCACACTGATGAATTAAAACTGCTGAAACAATTTAGAGCCAAACTTCAGCTTTAAACATCAATAACACACCGCACTCAATTTATGGGAAATAAAAACAAACAAAAACAACAACCTGTGTGCTGTACAATAAAAAATCAGCACAGGCCAAATGATAAATTTAACAAATCTACAGAAGTGTAAAACTGTTTATTAATTAATTAATCAGTACAACTATGTAACAGAGTGAAAATGTACTTATAAATTTAACTTACTACCTACACACCTGTCTACCTTCTTAACTACTGCCCTGTCTGTCTTACTACCTGTCTAACTGTTTACATACAAACATGTCTTACTGACCACATACTTGATTTGTTGATTGATCTGAGAAATGTAGAAAGTCTGGTAGCATTGTGACAATCAATAAACCAATAAATAAATTGTATAAAATCAAAATAATCTTCATCATTACACTAACCACAATAAACATTGAAATGATTATAAAATAAAGCATTAAAACACATTAATAAATTCAATATATAGGACTAATTAAATAAATACTAAAAATTTAAACATTTTACGTTTACTAAAAGTCTGTCCTTTTAAATTAAATAATCATTGTGTCATTATAATAATAGAGAATATAGATATTTAACAATATTTGCCTAATATAATAATTATATCTATCTATTTCTAGATATATATCAGATTGTATCATAATAGCATCTATGTAATATAACATAATAAATAAATGTTGCATCATAAACTGGTTAGAATTTTATTTGTCCTAATTATTCTATGGAAAGTCTTTTTTTTTTTTTTTTAAGCATCTTTGAGTATTTAGGAATGTGCTATACAAATAAAATATCATTATTATATTATATTCTTATTTCTCTCGTTTGTTTCCCCTCGAGCAGACTGTTGACACATCTGGTCCCTGCAGATGTTTCAGTTCCTGCATTTAGCAGACGTGTCTCTGATTGTTTACCATCGATGTTCGTTTATTTTTCCAGACAAACACTTCCTGGTTTTCTTCTTCAGCCGCCTGCGCTCCAATCAGAGCGGGCGTTACGAGGACTTCCCCTTCCTGTCTCTGTGCGGCAGAGAGAGGAACTTCCTGCGCTGTGACGACAGACCCGTGGTCTTCACCCACCTGCTGCAGAGCCCCGCGGGCCCCCAGGGGCTCACCGGAGAACAGGAGCTGCTGTCGTACTGCGGCGGCGCGGAGATGCTCGCCGTGCCTTTCCGACCGGAGGCGCTGTTCATGCATCCCGCCAGCGGCCGGGTCTATCACCCCTGCCCGGAGATCTCCGGGGGGGTCGGCCTGGTCCGGTCGGCTCTGGCCATCGAGCTCAGTTCCTTCTTCGTTTACCCACCAGAGAGCAGCCAGGCAGGACAGCCCACACATTTTGTCTGGAGAGGAGAGACGCTGGCACTGACCAATGAGCTGGCTCGATGCTTCCATACAGCAGAGGGCGGCGGGCAGCAGGGAGAGCTGGGGTGAAAAGGCAGAAATAAGAAATATTCTGAAATATGGTTTTTATTTAATTCACGTCACTTTACTGGTCTGGAGATGGTTAACAACAGACGGGCAGAACAGGACAAAATGAAATGTTTTAAACAAATCAGACCTTTAGTTTCTGGTTGGAGAGCGAACCCACAACGATGATCTTTTGTTTAAAAATAAACCTACTAGCTCTGGAGGAGTTTTAGAAATGCTTGAAAGTATAAATATTAGTAATGACATTTATTGATCCTGCTTGTGGTAATTTGAGGATTGTACCTGGAAGAGGCTGATGGAGTTTGCTTAAAACGTATAAATATAATTTTGTTTACAGTGCCTTGTGAAAGTATTCGGCCCCCTTGAACTTTTCAACCTTTTGCCACATTTCAGGCTTCAAACATAAAGATATAAAATTTTAATTTTTTGTGAAGAATCAACAACAAGTGGGACACAATCGTGAAGTGGAATGAAATTTATTGGATGTGTCAAACTTTTTTAACAAATAAAAAACTGAAAAGTGGGGCGTGCAATATTATTGGGCCCCCTTGCATTAATACTTTGTAGCTCCGCCTTTTGCTGCAGTTCCAGCTGCAGTTCCAGCTGCAAGTCTCTTGGGGTTTGTCTCCATCAGTTTTGCAAAACAGCTGGAGCTCAGTGAGGTTGGATGGAGAGCGTTTGTGAACAGCAGTCTTCAGCTCTTTCCACAGATTCTCGATTGGATTCAGGTCTGGACTTTGACTTGGCCATTCCAACACCTGGATACGTTTATTTGTGAACCATTCCATTGTAGATGTGTCTTTATGTTTTGGATCATTGTCTTGTTGGAAGATAAATCTCCGTCCCAGTCTCAGGTCTCTTGCAGACTCAAACAGGTTTTCTTCCAGAATGGTCCTGTATTTGGCCCCATCCATCTTCCCATCAATTCTGACCATCTTCCCTGTCCCTGCTGATGAAAAGCAGGCCCAAACCATGATGCTGCCACCACCATGTTTGACAGTGGGGATGGTGTGTTCAGGGTGATGAGCTGTGTTGCTTTTACACCAAACATATCGTTTTGCATTGTGGCCAAACAGTTGGATTTTGGTTTCATGTGACCAGAGCACCTTCTTCCACATGTTTGGTGTCTCCCAGGTGACAAACTTTAAACAACACTTTTTATGGACATCTTTGAGAAATGGCTTTCTTCTTGCCACTCTTCCATAAAGGCCAGATTTGAGCAGTGTACGACTGATTGTTGTCCTATGGACAGACTCTCCCACCTCAGCTGTAGATCTCTGCAGTTCATCCAGAGTGATCATGGGCCTCTTGGCTGCATCTCTGATCAGTCTCCTCCTTGGTCGAGATGAAAGTTTAGAGGGACGGCCGGGTCTTGGTAGATTTGCAGTGGTCTCATACTCCTTCCATTTCAATATGATTGCTTGCACAGTGCTCCTTGGGATGTTTAAGTGTTTTGTGATTTTTCCTTTGGATCATTTATTAGTTAAAACCCAAAATATATAGAACTAGGCAAAGTTTATAGATAAATAAAAAATACTTTATTATAATTTTTTTTTTAATCTGAAAAATTAGAACTGTAACAAATTCAATTCCCCATTTCTTATGATGGCTGGATTTTTTTTCCTTAAACAAAGTGCACAAAATGATCACTCAAGAATAAATTAAAACATTTTGTTCAGAAGCTATGATAATTAATTAAAATTATCCTTTCATTGCACTCCTTTCTGGATTTTTTTCTTAAATAAACCAACTTTATATCACAAACAAATGTTATAAAACAGTCAAATATATTTAGGATATAAAGGAATAAAACAACATTTCTCATCTTATGTGAATTTATTTTCTGGATTAGAAAAAAATAACTACAAATTAAAAATAATGAGTGAAAATACAATAAATAAAATGTAACCTGGAAAGCCTTGGGTTCAAATAAATATTCCCAGAAGCGTCTCTGTGGGCCCTGCCTGCTCTGACAGGAGCGACACTTCCACAGTGGCATGTTTGATGAAACCTCAGAGCAAACAGGAGAGAAACTGAAGCAAAAGTATCGATCTCATTACACTGGCACCAATAACCATAGATATCATAAAAGCTTTTAATGACATGTATGTCAATAACACGGTTAGTATCGATGTTATCAGTGTTGGGATCGATCCGCCAACCCCTGCACTACAATAACTTGATTACAGTGTTGTTCGATACCAGGATTTTTCTGGTCCGATACGATACCGGGTACACCGCATACAAGTGCAGCGGTATCGATAGCGATAAAGATACTTTTTACAAATACGCATAATGTGTCAGGTAAACCTAAAAAAAGCAATGTATTCAAATCAAAGCTGCATGAAGAATGCAAGACAAAGTAGTTTATTTATTTTAAACTCAGGAGTATGTTGAGGTAGTGCCTCATTTAGTCTGAGATTGTAAAACAAAAGAAAATAACAGGACATCATACAAAATTTGTGAAATGTTTTTTCAAACAATAAAAATAAGACAATAAGGAAAATCATACAACTATTAAAATAAATTATTAAATATCTATTAAATAATAGGATATATGTTTAAGATAATAAATATTTTATCCATATTTTGTAGTATATACAGTATTTTTCAGAGTTCACCAAGGCTGTTTTATCACCGTTGCTCTGCACAATTTGATGACACCTGGTCTATGTAATCAAATGATTGTTGAAACCTTACCTGAATAAATCTATGCTTTTTTGTCCATGTGAGATTATCTCAGTGATACACATAAATATTACTCCAAACTGAACTCATGCAACTATTTGTTCAAGCATGAATTAATTGTTATTTCACAACCACATGTATTAACTTGAACAACTCCAGCTGCAGCAGTTCTTAGCACAGCTTAAAGCTCCACATTTGCTCCCTCTGTATGTGGAAGTCCTGCAGCCCTGAGGGACTCCTCCAGAGCAGCAGCACCTGACTCTTTGCTCTCCTCCTCCGTCTGCCTCATCACTGCATCATATTCTGTGTTGTGATTTAACAGGAAGTGTTTTACAAGGTGTGTTGTGTTGCCACAGCTCTTCACAGGTTTTCCACAAACCTTCAGTTTGTGGAGACGAACTAGCTCCAGACATGACTCTGGTCAGCTCCGCCGCTGCGTCTACAGACTGACACTGACGAGCAGTGTGCTGCTCCGCTTAAACGCATTACGCACTTACTCAGGTGGAAGAAAAAGTAGTTCCCTCCAACCGCGTGTCATTTAGACAAGATCTCAACAGTTTAGTTACTTTCCATCATCTTCCTATGCATTACCTGAAATGAGTGAAGTATCAAAGGTATCGCTAGTTTGATCTAAGAATCGATTCTGGAGCGAAACGTTATGCCTCACATAGTATCGATGTTTTGTATCGATCCGCACAGCAAGACTCCGCCTACTTTCTTCTTCTTTGTTTTTATCCGTCCGCAGCTGGAGCCTGTCTTTAAGCTGGAGTCACTTCAGGACTCACACGAGTCTTGGACAACATCACGATTCTGACACCAGTTGTGCTTTTGCTTCCGGTGCGGCCATGGACAATACATGACAAACACAAGGATCTCTTCCATGAACTTCACTTCCTCAACATGTAAGTTACAATGGCAGCTGAGTTGTTCTGACTCCAACACTGTGTACTTTCAGTCTCTAGTTCTGGCACAGACAGCATTTAGCCACGTCCATGCTGCCATGACAAACTAAATCATGCACGAACTGAAATGTGTCACGATCCATGGCTGCGATGCATTTACTGACCTGAAGGCTCGGAAAACAAACATAAAATACAAAACCAAGCTTAAAGGCTGATAAACAGTTTAACCTGCCTTACAGTAGTTTTATTGACAACAGTTTGTGGCTCATCTGGTGTGTAACCGCTGCTCAGCTTCAGGTTCAAAAAGACAATTGTTTACATGTAAACAACTGTTGCCTGGAAACGAAAAGTTCTATACCGGAAGGAACTGCGTATCGAGTTCTCGTTTTGTTTTTTGCATATCGAGTTAATGTTTATTAATCTCAGAATTTCACGCGCACATCTGACGTCATGCATTTCGATGACGCTGTCTTTTGATGTGCACATCTAACGATGACGTATCAAAGGACAGAGGACGTGGCGTCAGTCAAACTCTATATATAGGGCTGCTGTGTTTACTGAAATCATTTTCTGAAGGTCGGTTCGAGTTGAACACACGTCAGAGAAGTTTGTAACTGTTCAATTTTCACTCTCTGTAGGAAAAATGGAAGTGCCAGGATCCTTTCTGCAAGCTGTTTGCGACTCAGCGACCAATAACCCACTGCGGTTCTTCACAGTGGCCACGACGCTGAGAGTTTTGACGAAAGTAGGTGCAGTCAGTAAGTACACCACTCCCACGGAAGAAACCTCTTTCTTCCTGAATTCTCTGGTTTCTAGAACTCTGGACGGACTTGTCATGCCTGAGAAGTTCCACTTTGACACGAAAAAGTCCAGAAAAGTGTCGAAAAAGGCGGTTCGGAATCTCCAAGATATCTGCTCCGCCGCAGAGCTGAGAGACGTGGTCCGTAAACTGGATCTAGATGTCAGCGCTAAGATTGTTGAAGTTTTACGTAACCTCATCAAAAAATATCTGGAAACCTTTGGGAAATGGGATAAGTTCTTTATGAACATGTTGGCTATAATGCCTTTCATCATGGATATTGTTAGACTAATCATAACAATTTTGCTGATGTAGGCGTGAATGTTTTGATCCAAACTCCAGACCAGTCCATCTGTCTTACCCGGGTTACAGTGCAGGATGACGGGGAGCCGTTTCCTGACTGACCGGGTCATGGTGGAGCGGGTGGTTCAACCACGAGCATTCACGCCACCACTTCGCTCATGAAGTCTCACGCTCTACAGTCTCACTGACTGGAGAACGTGAGACTTCATGAGCGAAGTGGTACGTCTCTCAGCCATGGGGTTTTTCCGCTGAGTCCTTCGGTTTTCCCTCACAAAAAAACAAAAAAAATCCCTGGTGGTCTAGTGGTTAGGATTCGGTGCTCTCAGCGCCGTGGCCTGGGTTCAAATCCCAGTCAGGGAGAAATGCATTTTTTGTGGGCCAAGATGGACTGAAGAAGCTTAAACTACCAGGAAGCTGAAATAACTGATTATATATATATATATATATATATAATCTTTTTTAACAAATAAAAAACTGAAAAGTGGGGCGTTCAGCCCCCTTGCGTAAATACTTTGTAGCACCGCCTTTTGCTGCAGTTCCAGCTGCAAGTCTCTTGGGGTTTGTCTCTATCAGTTTTGAACATGGAGACACTGAAGTTCTGCCCATTCTTCCTGCAAAACAGCTGGAGCTCAGTGAGGTTGGATGGAGAGCGTTTGTGAACAGCAGTCTTCAGCTCTTTCCACAGATTCTCGATTGGATTCAGGTCTGGACTTTGACCTGGCCATTCCAACACCTGGATACGTTTATTTGTGAACCATTCCATTGTAGATGTGTCTTTATGTTTTGGATCATTGTCTTGTTGGAAGATAAATCTCCGTCCCAGTCTCAGGTCTCTTGCAGACTCAAACAGGTTTTCTTTCAGAATGGTCCTGTATTTGGCCCCATCCATCTTCCCATCAATTCTGACCATCTTCCCTGTCCCTGCTGATGAAAAGCAGGCCCAAACCATGATGCTGCCACCACCATGTTTGACCGTGGGGATGGTGTGTTCAGGGTGACGAGCTGTGTTGCTTTTACGCCAAACATATCGTTTTGCATTGTGGCCAAACAGTTGGACTTTGGTTTCATGTGACCAGAGCTCCTTCTTCCACATGTTTGGTGTCTCCCAGGTGCTTGTGACAAACTTTAAACAACACTTTTTATGGATATCTTTGAGAAATGGCTTTCTTCTTGCCACTCTTCCATAAAGGCCAGATTTGTGCAGTGTACGACTGATTGTTGTCCTATGGACAGACTCTCTCACCTCAGCTGTAGATCTCTGCAGTTCATCCAGAGTGATCATGGGCCTCTTGGCTGCATCTCTGATCAGTCTTCTCCTTGTTCCAGATGAAAGTTTAGAGGGACGGCCGGGTCTTGGTAGATTTTCAGTGGTCTGATACTCCTTCCATTTCAGTATGATTGCTTGCACAGTGCTCCTTGGGATGTTTAAAGCTTGGGAAATCTTTTTGTATCCAAATCCGGCTTTAAACTTCTCCACAACAGTATCTCGGACCTGCCTGGTGTGTTCCTTGGTCTTCATGATGCTCTCTGCGCTTTGAACAGAACACTCAGACTATCACAGAGCAGGTGCATTTATACGGAGACTTGATTACACACAGGTGGATTCTATTTATCATCATTTATCATCAGCACGTTTCACAGATGTTTATAACTCTGAAATGACCATTCAGGCCCTGGTGTTTCTCACCACCACTGAGGAGCTGACATCCCAGTTCAACTCTGTCTGCTTAAAGACTCTGGATCATGTTGCACCTGTTAAAACCAAAAAAAAATCAAAACTCAGAGCTGAACCTTGGCTTAGTAACATCACCAAGGCCGTTAGGTAGCAATCTAGGATTACGGAGCGAAAGTGGGGGATAGACAGGCTGCAGGTCTCTTTTCAAATACTTAAAGAGAGTTGGCGCTGTTATCAGAAAGCAGTGAAAGCTGCTAAATCCAAAACTTCTCTGATATAATTACTTTGTATTTGGACACCCAGATAACAAAACATTGCAATAGTCCAGTCTAGACGTGACAAATGCATGAACCAGTTTTTCTGCATCATTTTTATCTGTTTCTAATTTTATTGATATTATGCAGGTGGAAGAAGGCGGTTCCAGTTACACATCACGTCAACAGAAATAAAACCTCACTGATCAACCACTTTATTTATAATCTGTCAAATATTTTTAAATATTTTTAACCATTGATTGAGCTTGACTCCCACACTGTCTTTAATATCAAAGCCTCTGTCATAACAACGTCCCCGGGTAATAATCTGGAGAGAAGGCCACAGCTTCTGTTATGAGCTTGTCTGATGGACGTCCATCCCTTGGACAGAAAAGAAGACACAGGTATTAGACAGAGTTTGATGTGACACCTTCAAAACATGGCAGAGATGCTGAACAGATGCATTAGTGTTAGTGGAACCATTGAAATTGTGAGTTTTTAATGCTGGCAGAAAATGCCTAACAGTGTTAAACAATGACAAGAAGATGGCAAAGCAATGAAGTCCTGTATAATATTTAATACTTTAAAAATTATTTGTCCAGCTGTTTTTTATTCAGCTCTGACCTGTTCTCCTGTAACAGGTGGTTTGTTTCTGCTCTTCTTTGTCCACACATTGTATTTGTAGCTTCAGCTGCTGCTTCATGTTCCTCCTCTCCATCATCTGCAGCCTCACTGAGCTCCTCTCCTGGAGTTTCATCTGAAGGTTTGTCTTGAACAGGACACATCACAACACACAGCAGTGTTACTACAGTAAAAGTGACGACACTAGAAACTTTAAACAGTTTATTTCACAATAACACAGATGTCCACTCTGTCTAGACTCGAACCAAGTTACATACAAAATATAAACCCGACCTAAACCAGGTTGGCCCACTTCTATGAACTAACATGAACTAAACATGATGCACATGGACAAAATAACAGCCATTCAAAAGTAGGATGAATAATGCCGTCTTTTGCTGACCAGCGTTTGTTGAAAACTCTCTGAAATGGTACTCACTTGACTGCCAGTGTCAAGAAGGCATGAAACCTTCATTCCCTGTAGTTTTATTTCCACAGTCTTACATTCTCCAACTGCCCTCTCTAAAGCTGTGTCTCTATCCAAGGCTTCAGTTAGTGAGCCAGTCCTTTCCCCTCAAATTGTTTGGCTCATGCCAACCGAGGGTTTTAGTTTTCCTGCCCCACAAAAGAAACATTAGCAGCACCAGCAGACACAACTTTGCTTTGTGGACATTTTCTGGCAATATGTCCAACCCCATGACATTTAAAACAGATAGGCTGACCATCATGTGTGAATGCATGCTGTGGTTTAACTTTCGGTTTGGGTTCTGGTGAAGTCAGTTGGGCACGTTTACACAGTTCGCCTACTGCAGCTCAGTCAATGCTTTCCCTAATTCAGCCAATGGCTCCCCTTGGTGGGCAACAACCCGTTGCACTTCAGTTAAAGCTGAAGGGGGGTCACTGTGTACAGTTGTTTTAGTCATGGAGCTTTGGGCTTTGAATGCTCCTGACTGAACCATATTGTTTCTCACACCTTTAGCAGAATGTGGTCGGTTATCCTCCATCTCCCAAAGGAGAGCTTCATTTCTCACATCTAGCAAACCAGAGTGTGGTTTCTCTAACCATTTTTCTTAGTTCATGTCTCAGAGGGACATGCCTTAAACCTTCAATCATCTGATCCCTTAAAACAGTTTTCTCATCAGATACAGCATCTGTGGACTGTTTAACTACAGAACTCCGTATCTGAGACAGTGCATGGGAGTAATCACGGAGGTCTTCTTCGTCTGTCTGTTTACGGTTGTAAAAAGACTAAAAGCTGTGCGACACTGCGCCTTTCACCAAAAGCATTTCTCAGGAAAGAGAATAAATCACTAGGTCCTACTGTTCTACCCCCCATACATAACCTGACTACCATACCATACTATACTACAGGTCCTTCTCAAAAAATTAGCATATTGTGTTAAAGGTCATTATTTTCCATAATGTAATGATAAAAATGAAACTTTCATATATTTCAGATTCATTGCACACCAACTGAAATATTTCAGGTCTGTAATTGTTTTAATACTGATGATTATGGCATACAGCTCATGAAAACCCAAAATGCCTGTCCCAAAAAATTAGCATATTTCATCCCACCAATGAAAGACAAGTGTTTTTAATACAAAAAACACCAACCTTCAAATAATCATGTTCAGTTATGCACTCAATACTTGGTCGGGAATACTTTTGCATGAATGACTGCTTCAATGCGGCGTGGCATGGAGGCAATCAGCCTGTGGCACTGCTGAGGTGTTATGGAGGCCCAGGATGCTTCGATAGCGGCCTTAAGCTCATCCAGAGTGTTGGGTCTTGCGTCTCTCAACTTTCTCTTCACAATATCCCACAGGTTCTCTATGGGGTTCAGGTCAGGAGAGTTGGCAGGCCAATTGAGCACAGTAATACCATGGTCAGTAGACCATTTACCAGTGGTTTTGGCACTGTGAGCAGGTGCCAGGTCGTGCTGAAAAATGAAATCTTCATCTCCATAAAGCTTTTCAGCAGATGGAAGCATGAAGTGCTCCAAAATCTCCTGATAGCTAGCTGCATCGACCCTGCGCTTGATAAAACACAGTGGACCAACACCAGCAGCTGACATGGCACCCCAGTGACTGTGGAAACTTGACACTGGACCTCAAGCAATGTGAATTATGTGTCTCCTCTCTTCCTCCAGACTCTGGGACCTTGATCTCCAAAGGAAATGCAAAAGTTACTGTAATCAGAGAACATAACTTTGGACCACTCAGCAGCAGTCCCAGGTGAGATGCTTCTGACGAGTCTCTTGTTCAAAAGTGGCTTGACCTGGGGAATGCGGCACCTGAAGCCCATTTCCCGCACACGCCTGTGCACGGTGGCTCTGGATGTTTCTACTCCAGACTCAGTCCACTGCTTCCGCAGGTCCCCCAAAGTCTGGAATCGGCCCTTCTCCACAATCCTCCTCAGGGTCCGGTCACCTCTTCTCATTGTGCAGCGTTTTCTGCCACACTTTTCCCTTCCCACAGACTTCCCACTGAGGTGCCTTGATACAGCACTCTGGGAACAGACTATTCCTTCAGCAGTTTCTTTCTGTGTCTTACCCTCTTGCTTGAGGGTGTCAATGATGGCCTTCTGGACAGCAGTCAGGTCGGCAGTCTTACCCATGATTGCGGTTTTGAGTAATGAACAAGGCTGGGAGTTTTTAAAAGCCTCAGGAATCTTTTGCAGGTGTTTAGAGTTACGTCGTTGATTCAGATGGTTAGGTTAATAGATTGTTTAGAGAACCTTTTCATGATATGCTAATTTTTTGGGAACAGGCATTTTGGGTTTTCATGAGCTGTATGCCATAATCATCAGTATTAAAACAATTAAAGACCTGAAATATTTCAGTTGGTGTGCAATGAATCTGAAATATATGAAAGTTTCATTTTTATCATTACATTATGGAAAATAATGACCTTTATCACAATATGCTAATTTTTTTAGAAGGACCTGTATACCACTTTATTTATAGAGCACTTAAAACAGCGACAAGGCCAACCAAAGTGCTGTACAGACAAAACAACAGGTAACACACAAAGAAAAATACAAAATGAAGTAAATCAGAATATAGACATAACAACGATGCGGATAATGACGACAAAACCAGTGTGGAGCATGCAGGTTCAAAATACAGATCATCTGGTGTTGAAAGCCACCAAATAGTAGTGGGTTTTTAAACGGGACTTGAAAACCGAGAGGGAGGGCGCCTGTCTGACAAGCAGAGGTAACTCGTTCCAAAGTCTTGGTCCTGCTACAGAGAAGGCCCTGTCACCTCTGCGCTTAAGACGAGATCCTGGAACTTTGAGGAGCAACTGGTCCGCTAACCTCGTGGTGGGACATACGGTTGTAGCAAATCAGAGAGATGGGGGGGTGAAACTGTTCAGCGATTTGTAGACATACAGGAGTATTTTGAATTGGATTCGAAGGTGAACCATTAACCAGTGCAGTGAGGCCAGAACTGGTGTGATGTGCTCTCTTTTGCCTGTACTGGTTAAAAATCGGGCTGCTGCATTCTGGACCAGTTGTAGTCGTGCAATGGAGGTTTGACTGATACCAAACAGGAGCGAATTGCAGTAATCAAGCCTAGATGTAATGAATGCATGTATTACTGTCTCCAGGTTCTTCTTGGACAATATGGGCTTCAGTTTAGACAGCCGCCTCAGCTGGAAGAAGCATGATTTAACAATCATGTTTACATGATTAAGTTTCAGGGAAGGGTCCATTATCACTCCCAGATTAGTGACTCCTTGTTTTTCTGACAGGGTTAAAGCGGGGAGGTCGATGCAGTGGTTTGTGGTCGTGTCATTGGGAGGGAACAACAAGTGCAACAAGACTTCTAGTGCTGGTCCCCGTAATGATGAAAGTATAAAATCACACTGTTCTTCAGTTGTCTGTTCTCTGGCCCTTATGACTCTCAACCTCCTCAATAAATTCTTCAACCAACCTCCCATCTTTGGCCCACTCTCCACAAAAAATCAGGTCCTGACGTTCACGTGGGACATAAATATATGAACGAGTGAGGGCACGACTAGTGCGGTCTCTTTGAGCCCTGGTTTCGTCATTTAGCCTGACAAGATCATCTCTCAATCAAGCGAGTTCTTGAAACTGACTTTGCATCTCATCATCTGAAGCCCTGCTTGGTCCTGCCGGCTCTAATGGGCCCCGACTAGCCGAATCACTACCACTGAGATTACCCTCAGCACCTGGAACAGTTGGCATGATGTAAATGATGTGTCTAGTTCAGTCAAGAGTTTTAGTCCAAAAGAAGCTTAAGCACAGTTTAGCTATAGTGAGGCTAGTGTGGGGCGAATCTGTGGTTTGAGGCACCAGTAAATCTTGCTGGATGGAATCCAATGGGTTGATCCAGATGAGTTCCGTTCCAAAGCAGCACCAGCCACCCTGCAGGATCAGCACCTCCACATGTCCTCACGTTGATGGATGGTCCCCGTAGTCTTCACTACTGCCGTATTTCTTAGTTAAAAGTACATAAAATGCCACTGTGTAATAATAAGTTCAACTAAGATTTCCTGCACACCACACTCCTGGTACCAAAACTGTGTAGCCCGGAAAACAGTTAACCTCACAGGACACAATAACTGGGGTCCTTAATGTGCAGTATTTTATTTACAGTGAAGACAGGTTCATGCACGCTGGAGTACACAGATGATCTCGCATCTTATTCTTACACCACTGAAACGACCGCCCTGCACCACACGTGCACGCCTCCTGCACAATCCGTTTCAGAAATAATATGTCAAAATACTGACTGCTTAACACTTAAATACAAATGTACCAACATATTTTAACAAGTTATGTGCATATTTACAGATTTTCTGCCAGAATTAGCGCCTTTTGACAAATCACTGTTCCCCTCCAAGAAAAGTAGCAAACAGGAAGTCCCAAGATGCATTTTATACTTTTGGGAGAACAGTAATAGATTTTAAGCACTGATCCCTGGTGGCCAAACTGTCCAACAGAGGCCTACTATAAAACATTGGAGTGTGCAAAATCTGCAGATAAATAAAATGACATAAACAAAATGACTCGATAGCATTTATGTTGTAAGCAAAAATGTAAATCAACACCTCAATACCTTAAAGTGGAGTTATTCAACTAAAGTAAAAAATATTTAAATCTACCACCTGGCTACATTTTGTTCTATAAATAAAGTTAGGGAAAAAATTTTAAAAAAAACCACGCCCACTCCGCGGGAATCACGTGATCCGTCCCGGAAAGAACATGTCAGCCTCTAAGCTGCAGCCCCTCAGCTCTTATGAAACCAAAACGATCCGTTTTTAATCAAAATGTGAGACTGCTCTTTGGTCCAGACGGGTCATAAAACACGAGGCGGGCTATAAGAATCCGGCTGACCCGGTTCAGGACTCAGTGGAGCCTCCGGGAACTGCAGGTCCACGAGTGATCCAGAAACATGGCAGCTCCCAGCACCAGCCCACGCGGGACCCTGGAGCGCTCGGTCCGGGAGCGGGTCCCCCCTCTGCTCACCGACCTGTACCAGTTCACCATGGCCTACGCGTACTGGCGGGCGGGTCGGAACCAGGAGCCGGCCGTGTTCGAGCTCTTCTTCAGGGACAACCCGTTCGGCGGCGGCTTCTCGCTGTTCGCGGGTCTGCAGGACTGTCTGCTGTTCCTGCGCGGCTTCCGCTTCACGGAGCACGGTGAGGTTCGGACCCGAGCACGACGAACCGGCCCGGGACGGTTCCGGTCTGCTTCTCCAGGATGGCGGAACAAATCCATGTCTATGTGGCGGCAGACGAGCTTTTCCAGCTGGTTTTCTTTGACCTTTGATTGACCTTTGATTTTCACCTCCCTGCACTTTGACCTTTCTTCCGTTCGACTCCAGCTACTTCTGCAGACTTCGTGTTATTTTAGCTGATTATAAATCCAAACCTTCAGCTCATTCATTAGAAGGGAGCTGTTTTTTTTATTTTATTTATGACAAATGTTCTCTAACAGAAACACCGAGTTCTCATCAAAACGTTGTTGTCTTCAGCAGCTTTACTTTATTTCTGTCCTTATACTACCTTTAGCTACTGTTTTTCTGCTTTACATTAACATTTTTGCATATTTAGCTTTTATTTAGCCTTTGGCTACATTTAGCTTTCAGCTAGCTCCTTTTGACTAGTCGTTTGCTGCATTTAGCTTTCAGCTAGTTTCTTGCTGCTTTTAGGCAGCTTTTTGCTACATTTAGCTAAATTAAAATTTTAAATAGCCTTTTCCATCCATTTAGCTACATTTAGCTTTCAGCTACCCTTTTGCTACATTTAGCTTACAGCTAAGCTCTTGCAACTTTTAGGCAGGCTTTTGCTAGTTTTAGCTAGCTTTTGGCTACATTTACTGGTAGTTTTCAAATTGTGTTGGTGCTTTTTATCTAATGTTTTGCTACATTTAACTTTCAGCTACCCTTTGATGCTTGATACATTTAGCTTTCAGCTAACCTCTTGCTACATTTAGCTTACAGCTAACCTCTTGATACTTTTAGTCAACAATTTTGCTACTTTTTAGCTCGCTTTTGTCTACATTTAGTTTTCAAATTGTCTTTTGATGCTTTTAACTAATGTTT